CCTGAAAATGAGTGAACCAACCACGTCAGTGAAAATTAACTCCCCACCCCCCAGTCCGATAATGATCACTGCCTACCTTAAAAAGAAAAATAAAACGCATGCATAGATATATGTAAAAAATTGCCACATACCCCCATTCAGCAATAAGCTTTTAGTAACAACATCAGGACAAAAGCCTTCCCCCTGAGCAAGAAAACCTACCACACCTTCGGAGTCTGCACGTGGCTCTCGTGAAGCAAAAATGTGTATCTGACTGTACTGTCCCGTTACATCATCACAGACACTGTCAGCCATCTGTTGAAGGGATGCTGTGCCTGTACATAGCCAGACAATGCCATAAGAGTAAGAAAAACTCATATCTGCACCTAATTCAGCATTTGCACTGTTGGCAGATCTGCAAGCACTTTTTTTATCGACCAAATGAGTGTCCCTTCCACAAATATCCTATCTAAAAATGACATAAACTTCAATTTAAAACTATCTGGAAGAAGAAAGTAACTTGGGTGTTAGAAGGAGCACTAACAAGTGGGTAAGCGGCTTCCAGATACACAGATTTTATGGGCCATTTGCAAGCACAGTCGATTTAAGCCCGATTTAACTTGCCAGTCTGCCAACGCAGCACATAGACGAAAAAAAATCCCAACAAACTCTATTCAATACATTCCTAAAAGTTGGCCAAGTACTATATAGACACACCTGAACAGACCAAGGACAGCTCATGGGTGAACTGAAGCCTGGGAGGTCTTGGACCCTGAGCCAGCGCTGGTGACAGTTTCTCCTCCAGAGGTTTGGGACCAGAGTAAGAGGAGGTGACGCATGCTGGCGTGAGGGAGGACTGGCAAAACCCCTCCAAATAGGAAACAAAATGGGTGCTACCATTGCCACCGGATTTTACCGCTCAGTGCCCTTCAAAAAAGGGAGCAACGGGGCCAGCGTCAGGTCAGAGGTGGCACAGCTGGGAGATGGAGTGTGATTTTTATTCTGTGTTCCAGTTAGTTGCAGGGGGTGTGTGAGCAAACCTGGATATGCCTGGGACAGCAGGGGGAGCTGCGAGTCCGCGATCCTCCGCACCTCCCCTTAATTGCCTCGGATATTTGGACAAAAACACACAAGTATGCCTGCACATCACCGCCGAAAGATGCCTGCACGTCGAACACTCCGCAAAAAAAAAATATGAAATTGAGTTCATAACAAAGTATTAAACAAAGAGCAAGCGAGAATTGTCACCTTCTCTCACAAGATAATAAAAATAGTTACACCATAAACATAAAAATCTTTTAAAAGACCCCTGACAGCATTCCCTCCTGGAACTATCACCATAGCAATGAGCATTCAAACAGGGGATAAAGTACTCCTGAATTCTGCATTTGATATTTTCAACTAACTAAAAATACAAACTGGAAGAAATACACACGGGTGATACAGAATCAGGCACACAGATATAAAAAGCCTTCAACGAAATTAAAGGTGGCAAAATCCACCTGCAAATCTTTAATACTCCAGGAAATAAACCCTTGAACCAGGTAGCATACACTGAAGGAGTGCCTGCAGACGACTGTAAACCCATCCTGTAGCCGCTGTACCCTGCAATTCCTACTTGTAACACTTTGCACAGGTCAGTCTACGGGTGCTGTGGCAGAACTGGGTGAACGCTGAGGAAAAGATGCACATCTGAGAGACAGCAGCACAAAGCTGTACTGGCAGAGCTGTACAGGAAACCTAAGAATTGGAAAAAAGGGGAACCTTGTATTTTAAGATTTAGGCACACAGCACAACTCTGGGAGAGGGTGCTTGCACAGTAGAGAACCCTATCTTCTCTAGTTGATGCTATTAAATAGGTCTTATTTCCATGATATTCAGAACCAAAGTTAAGATTAAACAAAGGAGAGAGGAGTGGATTGTTTTAAAATTCCTCTCCCAGATGCAGACGTGCACACAAAAGCAGGTGCCGGGCGTATTGATCCTACCGAATACGCATGGAGTGGGTACTTGAGCGTGTACCAAGCATCTGCGTCTGGGAGATGGAAAGCGCTTCGTAAAAGGCTGTTTTATGCTAAACAAATGCATCAGGTTATGTTTTTATTTTGAATATTTTAAAGCGTCTCGAACACTGGGGCAGACTTTAAAAGAAATGATACAGACAACTTGCCATTAATTGTACAAGTTACTATCTCCATAGCTGAGAATTGGCTGTGGGCTCACTTAGGAGCACAACAAGCGGCTGAAAACCATCCTCAATAAAACCTGCTCTGACTGCTGCACCTTAGAGAACTGGAGATCGTGCATCTGAAGACTCTTCAGGTCCCACACGCCGGCCCAGATGCATGCAGGCAAGGGGACAGACACATTTCTTCCCAACAGTTCGACATACCCAGCTGGGGAAGTAACAAATTCAACACTGCAAATTCATACCATGACCATCCAAAGAGGCGGAGATGGACAACGCTTGCTGACTTTTGATAATGAAAACCATAATGGCACATTTAGAAGAGAAAACGAAAAACGCATCCATTAGAAAATTTGGCTGTAGTTTGTAGTAGTCCCCCAGATAAAAGTTTTCCTTTGCACAAACAGTCTATAACCAAAATCTGTATCAGAAATCAAACTCTGCCCTGTATTTGCTCATGGAGTCTTTCTTGCCTCTTTTTAAGGAGGGAAAAAATTAATCCCTACAGGAGATGACAAGATTCCTTTTAAAGTACATATCTCATTTCTGACTACAATTACCTTTCAATAGCCTGGCACAGCTGCACACTCCTATTTGCTTTGTGTTTTTCATTAAGGGCTCCTCTATTATTTGTACCCATCCTATAGCATTTATGCCTGGCAGTGATGCACATTCCCTTGCCTGCGATTCTTCCCACATATAGTAGAGAATAAATTGCAATTAGATTTTCGTAATTGTAGATAATTAACTCAAAATGAGCTGTTAATTATAAAAAACCCTATGTTTTTCAGTTCTTGATTATATTATTTATTTTACTTCTAAACTCCAATACCTCACTTCAGCAAGTTTAGTATTTTAACGGACTTTCACCATTTCTTTTAAAATACCACGATATTTTTAAGCTAAGTTTTGCTTATTTGAAGACTGAAATCAAGTGTCATGCTGTGAGGTTTGCTAGAGAAGCTCTCATGTACGAGCTGGAAGTCAGAGCGGGCTGGTTTGCCATTAGGGTTCCGATATCATTTGCTGTAACAAGAACCACTTGGCAGGTCAATTAAAAAACAAACAAGAACAACAACAATGACAAAAATCAAAGCACACACAAAACCACAAAAAGAGACTGTTAAAAAAAAAAAAAAAGATACATTCCTACCAGCTCTTCCTCCTTCCTAAGCTCTAGCCACACACATGCACACTCTCTCAATACTGAGGAAAACATCACTTACATATTCAAATGCATAAAAGAGACAAATGGACTTGTCTTCTGTAGCCTCTTTCAGCCTTACATTAGAGTAAATTATTTAGGAACCATTCATCTGGTAACCTTTGCGAAACTGTAGATGGCATATAGGAAGAAAAACTTCTAAGTGTTTTGCTGCCAAAGTTTGGGACCAGCTGGCATGGCAACTTGAGACTGCGCGAACACATATTAACTTTGAAAAATTACAGCAAATTAAACCAGGGTAATGAAGAGAGGGTGGGGAACCTTTTGAAATCTGGAACTCTCATTTTGTTAATGGCACAGGTTTTCCTCATTTTTCCCTGCTAGGCTGTGTAGATTTTTGCAGCTTTTTGGTAAACTGTTGTCAAGAAGCCCTACAGATGTTCTAGGTTACATATTTTTTCTCCAAGGGGCTGTGTCTTAAACATATCATGACTCTCCATCTCTTTTGTTACAGTGATCACGCTTCGATCACTTCAGTCTGTGTGAAAACAAAGCAAAAAACCGTTGTTACACAATGAGGACATTCCAGTAACTCACAGCAGCCAAACACCTGACTAAGCAGTGAAGTATTCCAAGGAAACTAACAACTCCTCTTGTTTTGGAGAATGAAGTCTTACACCTTTTCAGTGAAGAGGAATATCAAAAAAAGAAAATAAAATCAGTATCACCTGATGTTAAAAAAGTAAGAAAAAAGAAAGTATTGGACCTATAGTTTATAAATAAATTAACAGCTCTTCCAGTATTCTCGTATTGGAGAGAGAAGCTTATTATTTTAAAGTCTCCTCTTGTCACTAAAGAAGGGGCCATTCAAAGGACAGCTGCTCTCCTTGTCCACCAAACAGATGTTCTCTTTACTCAAAAGCACATCTACAGCTAAAGCACAGAAAAAGAAGTGGTTACTGTTTCAGAAAGGGAGAAAAACCCTGTCAAATTCAGTTTTTATTTGTCTCTTTTCTAATAAGCCTGAATCTTCTTCCAGCATTAACAGGAAATGCGAAAGGGTAGGACAGAAAGAAAAGACAATAATGTATTGATTAAACTTTTAAATAGCATGCAAAATTGAGATAAAGAGCTCAATATTGGCTTAAGTCTACTTCCAGTTATTTCAGTGGCAGTTTGCTCTGCTCGTACTGAAACAGAAGTGCAACACAGCATTGTTTAAAACACAAGTAACTGCCGCCAATTGTAAGAGATCATTTCTATCTGGGATTTAAAGGATAATGTATTTTTTACATCAGATCCAAACTAAAACTAAAGATGTTCAGAATCTAATTGAAAAAATAACAAGCAGTACCTAAAACAGAGAACAAAAGCTAAGATTTTGTGAAAACTCCATTTTGCACTGGGCTAGGTTAGTGTCCTGAAAGGACAACACACCAAACCTGAAACCTCTACAGGAATCAACACCCAAACCTTGAGTAGTAACAGGTCAACATAACTACGGAGTTGACTCATAAAACGACACAGCCAGTGAATTTTACCTTTCCCGCAGAAAAAAGCTCTTAATCTGAAACAAACACATGAACAAATACACTTGGCAGCCAACAGCACGCTGTCAGGAAGATATACCGACACTGTGAAGTACTTAGAATTGAGGAGAGAAATTACCGTAGCCCCATGCTGTTGTCGTTCATCATCAGAGCAAGTTCCCCAGGCACTTCATCAATGGGTACATCTCCTGAGCCAGGTCCGTGGCCTCTAAACCTGAAAAAGCAGAGTTAGCTGGTTTTTTGGATGGTCAAATCATCACACCAAGAAAACACACAAAGGTGAGTCGTGTGTCTACAAACAGAGCACTTAATAAATTTGAATGCAGAAGCTTTTGTGACTGCTTTCACACTTTCAAATATACTTTTGTATCAGAAGGCTGACATGCCCAGTGCCTTTGCTTCTAAAGGTTTCCATTGGGGAAAAAATAGAAAAATTTCATTTACTGATTTCCAAGGACCTGCTCCCTTAAGAAAATGGTCACAGTATCCAATAACAAACAACCCCGTTGGGCTCAGATTACAGCTCCAGCAGCACCAGAGCTCAAAGGCATCGTGTGTAAACTGCATAAAATGCAGAATTCTTTTGAGATGGTTGTGTCTCCTGAAACAATGGGTCCACAGATGATACTCCATTTTTGATAGATTACCTCACCTTTTTCTTTCTCTCCAATGAACACAGAAAAGTCAACAATAGAGGTACTTCTCTGCTTTTATTTGAGTAAAATTCCTGTTTCCAGGTTTTACTCCTGTGTGCCTACTGTGGTGTGGCTGGCACCAGGAGACACCAAGCTGCCCCTTCCCTGCACACACCCCCTTTCTGGACACCCAAGCAGCTATTTCAGACAGAAGGAAACTGCAAACTGACAAGTACTATGCTCACTCGAGGCTAAGTAGGGAAATGTGGAAAATTAAAATGCAATTACAATGCAGCATGGCCAAAAAAAGGATCAATTCATACTTTCACTAAAAGAGCAGAAGAGTTAATAGCCAGTAATTACAAATGGTCAGACCTTTCACTTGTCTTTCACTTTCAGCAGCTCAGAATGGACCTTAACCAGCACTCCACCCATGCAGAAGGACAGGCAAAAATAAACACTATCTGGAAATGGATTTTTGTTGTATTGCTTTTTTTTTAAACTGTCATGATGTTAAGAGATGAACTAGGTTAGAGTCTCCTGACAATGAAGCAAAGGGTATTTGAGCTTAGCTAAACAAATTCTTATTGTTTGTAGTATATAAAATTACCCTGTTAAGAAGTGCAGAAGTGAATTATATACCTAGAACTGAAACAGAACTGTGATGCCCAGGAGATTTACCTGTATATATCAAACATTTAATTCTAAAGAGACAGAGTATTTTTTTAAGAGCAAGCACACTATATTCTAGTTGCTTTTCTTCAAAAGAATATGGCAAATGTGCCTTCACCTGCACCTCTAAAAAGACATTACAAAAACACTGAGTCCTCAGATTGATCACACATGGTTTTCTTTCATACAATTCTTTTAGGTAACTAGAGCTATGTAAACCAGGAAGTTTTTCAGAAAAAAATAATGGCTAAAATAGCTATAATAGCATTAACAAAAACATCATTATATATTTAATGTCCATTTTTTCTGGGCTTATGATGCCTCAAATGCTGAAAAATATCCATCAGCAATAAAAACACCAAAGAACTCAGTGTGTCTGTCCTTCATATTCTACTTGGTTTTCATTAGAGGGATGCATGCATAGAATTAACGTATTTGATGATTAAGAATCCATCTGTTCCTACTTAATTCTCAACTGAAGTTATAACCCTTCTTTGTGACCTCAGTCATTTTCAACACACATGATTGTGACTGCCTTTAAGACAAGTATTTTTAAAGCCATATAAACACATTATTTTCAATGTAACCCACAATCCAAGACAACAAATAAAAGACCACCTAAATTACAGTGCTCTCTTTCAGAGTTTGAAAAGCAACCAGGGGGATGGGATTAAGAAGCGAGGTGATATATTCCTCCATGGCTGTTGCAGTACGTGAATGTAGGAAGTGGGTCATGTAATGCAGACTTTCATGGGATGCTGTCAGCAGCTCTCATATTAAACGAGTGTCAAAATAAGCATCCTTGTGAAACCCTCCTATTGCTTCTTCTAAAAGACTGCTAGGTTTTTCCCCATCGCTTTCCCTTCCTAACGCTGAAATGCTGGTACTCAACGGAGTTACACTGGCGAATTCAGCTTGCTTTAACCTGCTTCCTTTTTAGTGTTGTTCTCAGCTCTAGTAATGTGATACCAATAAACCAGTTTCTCCCTCTTTCTCAGTCTCCACTTATATTGTCAGGAAGGTGTTACCTCACCTTCTGCAACAATCTCATGGGCCTTTCAAGCCATATCCCATATTTCTATGTTTATTGCCTTTCCCTTCTCCTAGTTTTAAACATGTTTTTTGCCTAAGCCTTGGCATTCTCCCTTCCACAAACACCAGTGGAAAAAAAATGTCCTTGCTACACAGAGCCACCTCCTTTTCCACATATATATATATGGAAAAAAATATTTACTCCACATATATGTAAAAAAAAAGATCTCCACCTTTTCTGTATAACACATTTCTTCCAGTCCCTACCTAGGAAGGTGCAGTACTTCAAAACTGACCTCTTCAAGGAAAGAAGGCAGAATGATGCATCTATGTCATCCACACTCAGCTGCTCTCTGGCCAAATGTCTCGTATTCCTTCAAGTGCCTGCACTGAGATCAACCTCTCATTTTCTTCTGCTGCTCTCTTCCTACCTGGTCTTTTAGCAGCACTGTTCTTGTGCCTTTCTACTACATGCAGTTTCCCAGCAGTATATATATAGTGAAATACTAAGAAGTCTCTTCTCTATATCACCATTAAAATTTGTGCTACAGGTCTTGCTTATCTTATCAGTTCCATTGTCCCACTTTAATTAACTATTGCCCATATGTTCATTAGAAATTTTAGATTCTTTTTTTTTTTTAATTATAAACCTCAAAATCACCTGTTATAATCCATGCGGGATTGGTGTAGTTGCTGTTGTTTCAGTAGCAGTTTTGCTTCTTGCTTAGCCAACAAATGTTGGAGTCGTTCTTTTTCAATTTCCAGCTCCATTTTCTGCAGAAGCAGCTTCTGCCGTCTTTCTTCATACAACTTTTTGGCCTGCTCCGTTTCCTTAGGCTGCGAGTCCATGCTGTCATTCAGCCCAGAAACAAGAGAGCGCCTAGAATAACCACAGGTTTTCTGAACCGGCCCAGAGTGTGTTCTAAGTACCTGGCTGACATGGTGGCTCTCTTGCACACTCCCTGAGCTCCCTACATGCCTGCAGGTACAACCATGACTCGCCTGCTGAGGGCACGTGCTCGGAAATTTATTTGCTTTCTGATCCACCTCCCGAGCTGGTTTTACACGGTGAGGGCTCCTCTGCTTGGCTGGGGAAATCACATTGTTACACTTTCTGTGCAAGCGATTTTCTACCGGGTGTTCCTTCAGACACTCCTGACGGTTGTAGTGGGTTTTAGTCTCATAACCGTGATTATTTCTGCAAGGCTGAGACAATGCAACACACGCTGGGCTCCCAGCCTTCGATGCTCTACTGTTCTTATAAACAGTTTGAGGTCCTGCAATATCCAAGTAGGAACCATCCAGCTCCAAAGATGGTTGTTGGCATGAGCTCGTCTTACTGAATACCTGCAATAAGAGAAACAATTCCCTGTGAAGTACCAAAATTTACCTTTGCGTATTAATTTCGCTTGGAAAAGGTGTTCTCTCAGAAACAGACTTGCTGCATCATGCTGATGGACATACAGCCAAACCCAAGAAAACGTTTATCAGAAGACAGACACAAATCCGCTATCAAATCTACATTTCATTCCATCTACACAAGTATAATAAATGTAAAACTACTGCCTGCAGGATCCTCAGCATTAAATGAGTCGCTTCAGAGTATCAAGTAGTTGTGAGCATCTAGGGTTACATAAAATCAACTTGAAGAGTGGCAAAAAAACATTAAATGTTAATGTTTGAAAATGTTTAATTTTGAATACTGAGCCAAAAAATCCATTCAGCCTCTATAAATACTCTTTGATTGGCCATTACACAGCAGGAGATTTGATGTAAAACATTTCACCTTGCACTGAATGGGATATTACTTACCGCTGGAAATTTGATGAGAGTTTTTGAAATATCTTTACAGAAACACAGATAAAAACCAACTACTTTCTGTAAAAAATGGTTGTACATCAAAAGCTGTCATTTAAATACAAAACATGTTTAAATTCAGCTATAAATGTAAGTGATTTTTCAATTAAGCTGGGCAAGTGATTATACTCTGATAAAACTCTGAAGAAAGAAAGCATCTGTAATTCACATTTGTCAACCCAGTGCAGGCGAATTCTAGTGCTTTTGTGATACTTGTGGATATTATGTAACAGACATCAAAATCCTGCTTGCATCCTGGAGTATCTTTGCACTACGGTTCATCTAGACAGTTAAACATTTGAGATTTTATGTACATCAGAACAGCAGTGAATCAGGCACCCACATTTCTTTTGCTGTACCTGTGCATTAATTTCAATAACATACTGTATTTAAACTCCCCCAGCCTCTGTGACCTTTCACAAAGACCTAATTTTTTTAATTACAGAAGCCAGGTTTGTTAAAGATAACAACACTACTACAGTGGAAGTGGTTTAGCAGGGAAATTTGATGAAAAGTATTATCTGCACTCTGGCAATAGATAGGGGTTGTCCACATAGAGTGGAAACAGTCAACAAGGCCCAAAACACTAGAAGTTAGGAATGCAAGCAAGCATCCAGTGATGATTAGAATAGAGAGATATAACCCAAATCTATGCAGTGTTTATATGTATAATTTAAATTCTTTTTTATAAATAAACAAAATACCAAATATACTCTGCTGCCCTTCAAGACAACCAATTACAAGTTTCTTGCAGACTTCACAGAATGTAAATTAACATGGATTAGCACCTGAATACTGATATTTTATTATTTCCAGTTTTGTGGATACAAATAGATCCTCTCTGCCATGTGATTGAAAGCCAAGGATGTCATGCTTTGCCCCAAAGGGCCCAGTGATTTGGAGGCCTTTGCATTAATGTCAGTGCTAAATGTCTGAGCAAAGTCTGGTACTTGGGCTGGGTGAAAAGTGCAGGACATGAAAATATTTTAGAGTCAGAGGGGCAGGCAGGGCAACTGAGCAGAAATGCAACATGCTGCCAGAAAGACGGAGTTTTGTTATTTATTATTTGTAGCATGCCATCCTTGTCTGCAGTATTTTCTAGACAAATAGAGACTAAAAAGACCTTTTAATCTAAATTAGACAATACATAAAGGGACGACCACCAACTGGAAAAAATATTACAGAAGACGTAAAGTAAGAGAATCCTGTGGTTACACGCCCTCTCTCGTTTCCCACCTCACCTGCTTCTGCTAGCATAGCTTTTAGGGCACCAAGAGAAAGAGACTTTCAAACTGGCCGGTTTCCCAGCCGCCTACAACAGCGGAAGGTGGCACACCTGAAGGTGTTCGTAGGGGATCTTTATCAGAGCTGGAAGCTTAGGATGGTCTACAGACAGCGTACACCTACCCTTCTGCAGCCCATAAACAGAAGTAAGCAGGAACAAAAAAAATAAAGACTCAAAAGATGAAATAACTGCGAATTTCTTTATTTTAGCAGTTTGTTTTATTGACTGAAGAGACAAGAGAAATCTAAGCACACTAACGAAGATGATACAAAATAATCATCAGGAGCAGGTTTAAGAATAAAGGCCCATGTGGCAAATTAACTTCATGGCTGAGACTCTATTAAGAGTCCCTGAAGGCCCTAAAGAGAGGTACCAGTTAGCATTTGTTGACCTTGGCTGCCATTAAATCTGCCCTGATGGTCTCAGAAATGGCATTGACATTTAAAGACTTCATAACAAGGCAGAGAAACTTTAATGTTATTTCACATTTACAATATGTTTGCAGGGGGGAAAACTCTCATTAATCTCATTTAATGCGAGTGGGGGTTTTTTATTCCTTCTCAAGGAGGTCATGCTAGGCAGAAGACTAAGTTCCACCATGCCTTTGATGGCTACTCAGTACTCTGCAGGGCCTAACCCCAGGAAAAATTAACTCCTGAGAGTCAGAAGCTAGTCGACAACTTACTTAGCAATTTGTGTTTGTCTGTTAATGCTTTAATTGAAAACTACAGCTGGATGGCAGACGCTGCAGGGCAACAGACTGACATTTACACTACCAGGGATCAAATGAGACCAGAGCATGCCACGACAGAACTATAAGATGCAGGCCAGGTGAAGGGGAAAATTAAAAAACCCAAAAAATTCCAAAGACACACCTACTACCATGAGTCTAAAGACACACAAGCATAAGGAATTGGGTAGTTTTACAAGATGAGTTAAAGAAAGATATTGCCTGCGGGACACATGGAAACCATGACGGACCATGATGGAACAGCTGTGCTTTCCCCTCTGTGGAGCTCTTCCAGGCTAGCTGTATGGTATTTAAAGATACAACTTCCTTTAACTGAGGTTTAAACAAACAAACAAACTCAGACTGCTCCTTGCAACATATGGAGTTAATAAGACTTGATCAGATGTGAAACTCTTGCATAGAAACCAGGAGATATTAAAAAATAGTTCAAATAATCTTTAGAGGGGTTTAAAGAGGAAGACGTGGGGAGCTCTACAAAATCTTTACTGCAATCCCAGTAATTTTTGCTCAGGGATTCAGAGCAGAGCTTAAACAAACATCCAGTCCTTAAAACTTCCTACAAACAGACAAACAGCACACCAGTTTTATGCATGCAGCATTACGATCTCGGCAAGTTCTTCTTAAATGCCACTTGTGCGCTCTGCAGCGTTAATTCACAGCGCTAGCAGCGGAGACACCTCCACAGACTGACTCCAGCACACAGGGCTTTGTACGGCAAGGGGTGAACCAGTAACTGGACAGATCTTACAATCTCAGCACAGGCAAGGTCCTGACTGATTTCACTGGTAGCTCTGCATGTACTACGCACGTTTAAGAAACAGCCCAAAGTCATTACCTCGAGAAGTCTTGCACTCTGAGGGCAAACGCTACGGTCCTAGCAAAATACAGTGCTGTTACAGAGCACAGCAAATTTCCTACAGGTGTTAACAGGGTCAGAGTTTAACCCATAGCAACTGGGTTTGTAGTATGTAGCTGAAACATATTTTAATTCAGAAAAAGAGGCTATAAACTAAATTTGTTCTCAGTTCTATCTTGAGAACATTTCTCTAACCCGGGTTTTCAGTTCTGGGGTTTCTTTTGGTGAGGTGGAAACAGAGGAAGGAACACGCAGGTTGAGAACAAGACCATTGTGTTGATCTGAGCAGGGACCCTGGGGGAAGCCAAGAAGAACAATCAGAAGTAACCAGAGGAGAAATACAGAGATTTAAAGATATTTAAAGATGAAGAAAAACATCTAAGTGGACAAATTAGTATGTACCATAGACAGGGACACGTTAAAGAGCACCAGGGGCACATATTCATAGAATCACAGAATGGTTTGGGTTGAAGGGACCTCAAAGACCATCTAGTTCCAACCCCCCTGCCATGGGCAGGGACACCTTCCACTAGACCAGGTTGCTCAAAGCCTCATCCAGCCTGGCCTTGGACACTTCCAGGGATGGGGCATCCACAGCTTCTCTGGGCAACCTGCTCCGTGACTACTCACCCTCTCCGTGAAGAATTTGTTCCTGATACCCAATCTAAACCTCCCCGCTTTCAATTTAAACCCGTTACCCCTTATCCTGTCACTACAGGCACTTTTAAAAAGTCCCCCCCAGCTTCCTTGTAGCCCCTTCAGGTACTGGAAGGTGCTATAAGGTCTCCCCGGAGCCTTCTCTTCTCCAGGCTGAACACCCCCAACTCTCTCAGCCTTTCATCATAGAAGAGGTGCTCCAGACCTAGCTGACACATTCACTAAAGTACAGATCCCAAACCTAGAACTCAGTCACCACCATGCAGTGTTGACGTATGGGTCTCATCTGAATGAAGCTTGGCTTTGTGTCTGCAGGTCTATTGACAGTATAAGCACTTGCTCTCATCAGTCAAATGAGGAGAATATATCATAAATCAGTTCAGGTGGGATATCAGGGCCACAGAAATGCCGTTTTAAGAACAATTATTTCAAGTGACAGGACTATTCGAAGTGTATTACTAGTGATTAAGGAGCTATTCTTTCCAAGAGTTTGTAAGAATTTATCAAGGAGAATGTAAAAAGCTAAAGATTTTAAAGTAAATTAGTAGGAACTACTGAAGTCTATAATTTTTTTTTCTTTAAATCATACAATACTTTATTAAAATCTCTACCATAAGTAAGCTAGTATCAGTCATTACAAAGTGCTCACATAATAGCAACTGTCTCTGTCAGTACCTAAGATAAATACAGTAGATAACTCGGAAGGTGAGCTGACCATTTTTCAAGCAAGAAATAAAGCACCATTTTCTGTAATAATTACATGTAGCTATGATTACCATATTCCACTGAATAGAACAAGTGGTCTCAAATCAAAGAAACAATATGTGAATGACAGTCACAAGCCAGTATTTTTCCTGTAAAAATCTACTGAACTCAGTACACTGAACAGGTGTAGCAAAAAAAGAAAGAAAAATAATAAAATAAGATCACATCACAGAAAA